CGCCCCCCCCCCCCCCCAGTTCCCGAGGCTGATCTGCTGAGCACGCCGCAGGGTGCTCAGCTGGGCAGGGGACGAGCAGGACCATGCTGTTCACCACCCCCTGAACCTGGGGAAAGGGCTGGTAACAGGGCCATGTGCGAGGCCCAGCCTGCCGTGGTGGCAGGGCGGCGTGGGCTGTGCGAGCGGGGCTGCTGGGTTGGTTTCCTTGTGCCGGGAACTCCTGGGTCTCAGCCTTGCCTGGGGCTCCCCCTCGCCAGGGGAGCCAGCGATGCTGGGGCTCCCGGAGGGGCTGCGGCCTTGGTGGTGTCTCTGGGGATATTGCCAGGAAGTGACACTTTCCATTTCGCACAACACTGGGCTGCGGAAGGGGGCAGGGAGGGGGTTGCTGCTTCGCCGGTGGAGTGCACAGCGAGACACCGCGGGATGGAAGAGAGGGTCACGTACGCTGATCTGCACTTCCCCCCGCCCCCAGGTAACCCCTGTGGCATCCCCGCCCCCCCCCGCCACTTCCCCTTGCAGCTCATTTTTCTTTGCAGGGCCATTTTCCCCCAGAAAGTGCTCCCACTCCACTCACTCTTTTCAGGTATCTGCTCCTGCACCTCTGCCAAGCAGCTCCTCTCCAGCTGCCTGGCAGACTGCCTGCTCTGGGGCTGCGGGGCAGGAGGGGTTCAGGGGCAGGGGACATTCACTGCACGCCAGATGCGTGATGCACGCACTCCTGCTCCCCCCATGCCAAGCACCGTCTGCAGGGGGACGACTTCTAGCAGGATCTGGGCCCTGCAACTGGGCTCTCCCTCTGGCCCACAGCAGTGTTGCACTTTTCCTGAGGGATGTTGTCTGCAGGAGTCTGATGTCCGCAGAGCAGCAGGCTCCCCTGATGCCCTCCTGAGACCCTCCTAGGGTGCACAGACCTTTCCTGGCACGGCGGATCCCTGCTGCTCTCCCAGAGAGCCCTCAGGACCCTGGTTATCTCTCTCTCACAGCTCCTCAGCGGCTGAAGCAGCTGCCCTGGCGCTGTGCAGCCCTCAGCCTGGCTCTCCTTTGCCTGCTGCTCCTGCTGGCACAAATTGTCCTCGTTGGCTTGAGCTTCCACTGTGAGTACCCGCTTACGCCCAGTCACTGCCGGTGCCCCTCCAACCGCTCATGTGGTGCCAAGGCTCACCGCAGCCGGGGCTGGGGGTTCGGGGTCGGCCTCGGCTCAGCGCGGTCCGTGCTGTGCGTGTGCTGGACGGGGACAGAGCTGCAGGGCTGTCAAAAGAGCAGCTGCCCCGACACCACTGCAGGCACAAGCAGAGCCTGAACTTTCCCCTCCGGGCGCTGAGTGCGGAGCTGGTCCCTCCTGTTCAGAGCCAAGGGTGTTGCATGCTTCCAGGCTCAGGGGCAAGTAGCAAAATTGGTGAGGCGAGGTGCAGGTCCCAGGCCTGCCTGTCTGGAGTGCCTCCAGTGTGGGGGAGTGAAAGGCGGGGAGGAAAGCGTGGGCTCAGGAAGGGCCCTGGGGCATCCCGCTCCATCACCTGGCAATGAGATGAAGACAGGACCAAGAGCAGCGAGACTGAAACTGAGAGAAAGAAGCACTTTCTGTGAAAGCCTGTCATGTGATGGGCTCAGAAGCACAGCAAGAGCTGCAAGGGCCTCGGCAGGCTTGGCTGGCTTAAAGAGAGGGGGAAGCCTTCAGCGGTGGGCTGGCTGTGGCTCTTGTGGGGCTCCCAGTCATGGGAGCATTCACTGGGTGCTGCTGGGAGCAAAAGCTGGCCTGGGACCTGCAGGCTGGCTGGCAGGGTCACTACTGTGCTCTTGGTGCATAGTTTTAGGGCAACTGGCAGGCTGCACCCATGATCCCTGGAGCACGGAAGAGAGCCTCAGCGGTGGGCGACAGAGTCCGCAAGGTAGGAGAGCTTGGTGGGCTTCTGGGCAAGGTTTGGAGAGGATCTGGCGATACAAGGGGCAGGATCTGGCCCTACTGCCTGCTGGAGCGGGGGCTCCCACCGGACCATGCCCCCACCTCAGTCTCCCTCCATTCTTGCTGCTGGGCCTCTGGCTCGTGGCCTGGAGAGCTGCCCCGGTGTTGCTGAACATGCTGCATTGCCAGGACCTGTTTGGGAGAGAGAACCCCATGGCAGCTCACCTTCACCTCGACACGCCACCAGCCCCAGGCAAGCTGCAGGGTTATTGCTTGCTATGAGCGTCTGTGAGCCAGACAGGGTCAGATGCTCTCTTTAGACTGGCCTCCAGGAAAGCTGAAATCCTGATTGTATTCCCAGCACTTTGCAAATGTAGGGGATCCTTGTATCACTCCACTGAACCTGGAGCACCCTTCTCTGGCTCACCTCCCCTGTGCCAACCCCTTCATGTAACTAACCCACCTCCATCGGGGCTCCCACCAGAGTCCTGCAGGGCTGGAGATGGGATGTGGGAGCTGGGCCTCCGGAGGAAGACACCAATGTAGGGGTCTTCTCCATGGGGCAGCCACAGGAGCATGGTGGGTTGGTTGTACAGCCTGGTGCCATGGCTCCCTGGCTGCCCCTTTTGCACCCTGCTGCAGCAGCTCTGAGCGCAGGCTGGGAGCTGGTGGGAGCCCCTGGTGGCTTCCCTGTCCCAGCTGCTCCCAGAGCCATGGGCAGGCTGCTTTTCTGGTGTGCAGGGCGATGCCAGTTCTGCCCAGCTGGCTGGTTCTGGGACGCAGGTCAGTGCTACTACTTCTCTTCTGCCAAAAAGACCTGGGAGCAGAGCAAAGAGGACTGCTGCTCCAGAGGGGCACAGCTGGTCACCATCCGAACTAACGCCACCCTGGTGAGTGCACCCTGCTGACACCCAACCAGCTTGTCTAACCCACCTGTGGGCATCGGGCCACGACCACCTTGACCACCTCTACCAAACTGTAGCTGATGACCACCTTGACCACCTCTATCAAATTGACCACCCGCACCAAATTGTGCACCCTACCTTGTTGTCCCCACCTTCTTGGGGAGGCAGGACAGCAAGGATCAAGCAATGCCATGGCTTGGCATTACGGCAGTGATGGGGTGCAATCTCCCCTGCTGTGGCTCACGTGCCAAGAGCACAGCCAAGCCTTCAGCCGGAGAGCTGGTGATGCTCTGCCCGCACTGTACAGCTCTCATTCCTGATCGCTGGGGCTATGCCTGAAGGGTCGGGCAGGGTGTCCCTCCAGTGCGTCGGCCTTGCATTTCTCCTGGCCTGGCACATGTGAACCCCACAGCAGCAGGCTCTGCCCCACAGCCTGCCCCCAACCACATTCAGTCATGGGAGTGAGCTATACCCAGCTCCATGCTGCTCCAGCCATCCCATCTGGCTGCTGCATGTTCCCGTGTGTGGCATGACCACCCCTCCAAGAGCGCACACGCATGCGTTCACATGTGCAGGCATGCAGTAGTGTGAACTCCTGCTGGCGTGGGGGGTATGTGGCCGTGTCTGTCTGTGGGAGTGTCTGGGCATGATGTGCAAGTGCCCGTGCCAGCAGCAGCATGTCGGCCCTTCAGGCAGCTCACGCTTGTCTCCTTGTGCACCAGGCGTTCCTGACGCGCATGTCCGACACGGATATGTTTCACGTGGGGCTGAAGCGTGACAGTTCCCGGGCTGACTGGAAGTGGCTGGATGGCACTGCGCTGAAGGGGTAAGGCTTTCAGCTTGCCCCCCAGCCAGGGTTGCTGGGGATCCTGTCCCATCCCCGGGCTCTGGGAGGTGACTGGGGGACAGGGAGAGTGCAGACGGGCAGAGATGTGCTCCCCAACTTGGCCACCTCTCCCCTCTCAGGGCTACACTGGGGCATTTTAGGGGAGGGAAGATTGCAGAGGTCTGACCCTATCATTCACACCCTGGGGACAAACGAGGTCTGGATGCAAGGCTGGGGGATCCCCCAAGAGCAGGTTTCCAGCATGAGGTCCTGGGAGCTCTTCTAGGTGCAGCTGGTGCTGAGACCTGTCAGGAAGGGCCCAGGGTGCTGCATGCAGGATGGGCAGGGACAGGATGGGAAGAGATCGAGATGGGTACCCTGGGCAGGGGAGGATGGCCGAGGGGCACTGCTCCATGGTGAGGGTTAGCTTTGCCCCTGTGGCATCTCTGCGCAGTCTCCAGTCCCTTGGCAGAGGAGGAGCTGATCAGCCTGCCTCATCCCGTCTCACCCCCAACCCCTCTGGCCCCCATCCCGTCTCACTCCATCCCATCCTACCCCAAGCCATCTCACCCCACTCTCTCTGTGCAGGCTCTTCCCAATCCAGCGTTTCACCAGCTCTTTCCTGGCCTGTGGGAGGGTATCTGGCTCAGGGCTATCTGGCGGCCCGTGTGGGGAAGCCCGCGGCTGGATCTGTGAGAAGAGCGCTGCTGCCCTGCAATGGGTCCAGTCTGCACCCCCCACCTTCCTCTGGGGGAACACCACCTACACCTGCGCGGGGCCCTGGTGACCTGCAAGGACCTCCAGCATGGCCACTCTGGCAGCGCAGGGACCCCACCACCCCTATCCTACCCCTGCAGTCCAGCCTGATCCGAGCTCCTGCACACTGGCATCCTAGATTGCGGTCTCCTAACGCAGAGCTCTTCTTCCCCCCCAGCCCGGATCTGTGAACTTCGGCAATAAACTCTGGCGCATGGATGCTGTAGCTGTCTTTGGGGCAAAGTGCTGAGGGGGAGGCTCTGCCGTCACCGCAGAGTTGTGGCACCCACAGCATTGTCAGCCTGGTTGGAAACTGCACTAGGGGAGGTGGCTGGGGGCCAGGATTGACCCAAGGGTCCCTGTGGCATGGGGGCAGTGTGGAGCAGCTCCCGTGGAGCTGGGACGGGTCTCCCCAAAGCTCTGGGCTTGCTGGCTGCACCCGCTGCTGGAGATTTGTAGCTCTTCAGGGAAGGCAGCCGGTGCCTCTCTGGTCCCGGCAGAGGGTTTGGCCTGTGCAGCAGCTTGTGTCCTCATGCCTGCGTGGTCTGTGGAGGTCACAGTGAATGCACTCACTTCACTTTGAGACTGAGTGGTGCATGAGAGTCTAAAAGCCCTGCTCGGTGGTGATGGCTATCATTGGTTTGAAACTGGCCACCGGGGTCGTGCCAGCAGCACACAGAGCCTGCACAGCCCTCCCTTGCTGCCCCTCCTGCCCTTCACGATGGATCACAGCCTGGCTCTCACCCAGATGGGTGGTGGGATGGGGACAGTGAAGAGCAGAGGAAGCCCAGTGCCTGCAGCAGGCAGGAGCGTGGGCGGAGGGAGGAAGCAGGGCCAAGGCCAGTTGGGGACAGCTGCCTTTCCCGCTGAGCCAGCCCACGAGCTACCTACGCCTTGCACTCCTGCCCCTGAGTGCTCCTGCGAATGATGCCAGGTCGTGCTCAGCCCCCTCTGGCCCCTTAGATCAGACCTCCTTTCCCTGCATTGCCTCTCACCAAACCTGCTGCTTGGTCCCTTCGTGGGTGTCCCCTTTGTGTCACCTAAGCCGGGATGAGCCAGAGACCTCTCTGCTCTGCCCCCTCTGAGAATGGCTGCTGCGTGGTGGCCTTGTGCCTAAGGATTTTTTCCAATGGTCAATAACTTATGGGAGAACCGTAAAAAGCAAGGAGTCCAGGTGTAGCATGACCACAAGCAGTGCGCATTTATTACTCCTTTGTAGATTTATCTTAGCCTAATTTGCTATAGCCAGGCACTAAATGCTATACTACGTGCTCTTCAGGTTTGCAGCCAAGTTGCTGTCTCAGGAAATTCGATCCTCAATGCCCCATCTCTCACAGAGGAATCACGATGCAGGCATCCCCTTCACACCTGGTGGTCGTCCTGTGGTCAGGACACACAGCAGGGTCCGCTCTTGCACTAGCTGGCATTGATCTTCTATAGTTTCCTCACTGTTCTTCCCCAGGGACAGTAGCTTAAACCAATCACGAGCCTAAGGGTCTACTCGATCATGTCTTATTGTTTCCTTGCTTGCTCCTGTCTCTCACTTTTTATCACTATTGTCACAAGGTTCTACCAGTGTTGAAGGTTTCTACAGCATCATTTCATTTCTTATTACTATTGTCACATCGCTCTGCAGCATGGGGGTCTCTGACTGTAGATGCCCCAGGAGATTGCCAACCGATGCATCCCACTGTGATAGGGCCTATGCTGTCCCTGAGGCTTGCTCCTGCCTGCAGACTTGTGACACTGCACAGCATGGATCCACTGTGGCCAGTAAGCACTGGGGCCAGGGTCTCCTCATAGACTGGTAGAGCAGATGACCATCCTTCTTCGTTGTACCGTAGGGCTGGGACCCTTTAGGGAGCAGAGCATGGTGTCCAGGATGGAGAACAGTTAGCTCCCCCTACAGCAACAGCTGCCCAGAAGTAATCTATAATTTGCAGATAGCGTGAGCACTTCTGCTTTCTTGCAAAGCAAGAAGTTGCTCCACCCCAATTGTATGAGCCACAAATCTGCTGCCAGATCTCAGCATAGCAGAGTAGAAAGTCCCTGATCTGGAGCTGCCTGGGGGACAGCCAGCTCTTGTGCACATGGCCCAGAGTGTGGTTTATGCTGACCTGAGGTTTACCAAGGTGCCTGCGGGACGCAGCACGCCCTGCTGCCTGCCCACAGCCCTGTGCGAGGACGAGGCGGAGAGCCCCTACGAGAACATGCAGCCGGGGCAGGTGACCGTGGGACAGGACGGGCAGGGGGCCCGGCCCAGCCCAGGTGAGTGCCCAGCTCAGGGCCCCCCGCACCTCGGGGAGCCCAGGTGTGGGGCGAGGGGGGTGGGGGGTGCTCCTATCCCCACCCCACGGGGACGAAGGGCAGGAGGCTGGGGACTGGCGATGGAGTTCCCCTCCGCTCGTGGGGACTGTGCTTGGTGGTGGCAGCACGTGGAGCTGGGGCCCTGCTGCGCCGGGTCATGCTGGGCAGCGGGGTGGTTGGGGCTGCACCATCCGGGCCAGCGGGCCAGCAGGGCCTGGGCAGCGGCCGCCGGCACGTCCTCTT